AGCAAAACCTACCCTCTGTCAGGGCCAGATTCAACATCACATACAAATGAAGCTTTGCCTGACAACTCCGAAGGCAGGCACCTGTGCCAGCTCCCCAGCAGGTGAGCTGCACCGGAGTGCAGCACAGGCATCCCGGCATCCTGGCAGCTCCATTCCAGCAAGTGGCTGCTGTGGGCTGTGGGTTTCCTGCAACCTTGCTTCTGTGGGTGGTGTCGGTGTGCTGGGAGGAAAAGGCAAAACCACACAAACAGGCCAAGGTGCCACCATGTGTCTCCTCCTCGTCCCTTCCTGCTTTTCCTTCTCTTCTTCCTCCTCCCTACTTTGCCCTTTCTTCTCCCTCTTTTCATTCCCTTCCTATTTCCTCTTCCTTCTTTCCTTCTTCTACTTTATAAACCAAATTGGGTTTCTCTATGCCTTCAGAAAGAGACCTGAGGTTTTTCAAAATCCTATTGCCTGTCATTTATCTGACTCCTCATAGACTTCAGAGTCCTTGAAGACTAGGAAATGGGACAGATACATTTTGATCAAAGAGAAAGTGATATGGGAGCCACAGGCACGACTTGAGAAGACAGTTATAGATAGATGCTCACTGGGGTCCTGGCTTCCAGATGATGAAGGAGGCATGGAGAACGGCGAGTGTGATGCCCTCCCTTCTAAACGTTTGACTTCCAGTAGCTATGGGAAGGCAGGCCGTGACTGTGCACCCTTGCAGAAAACATAACCGACCGGCTGGGTCTGACGTGTGTCCCAGCTTATTTACTTGAGCCCTAGGGATATGGTTTACCTTAAGAGGTTCCTTTACATTTGTATCTTTGTTCTTTCTGTTCCCTACAGATTCATGAAGGTGGCAGGAAGCACGGTGGATGCAGTTACCTGGCAACAGTAGGTATTCACCATTTTTCCTCTTATTATCAACTGCTGTGAAGTGAAAGATAATTAGTCATCACCAGGTTTATAGCTGACATCTAAGAAGCAATCGTTCATCCTCTAAGAAAAAAGTTAAAACTAACTCCAAGCTATTCCTGTGGTACAGCCTGTAGCATAGTAATATAATTGTGTTTTGTTGATTTTTTTTTATAAAAAAAGAACAATAAACCTCACACTTTTTGATGACTCAGCTGCTATGCACACTATTAAATTAATCTGTTGTCAGTGACCAGGTAATCGGAATCTGAACATACCACCACTGCCTCGTGGGGCTTTTCTCTGGGAATAAGTTCTCCTTGTTTAAGAGAGGAAATCATTTTAATTACTCAATATATCATGCGAAAATAGAAACACTTCATTATTTTAATGGCAGTGGTCTTAATTAATGCCAAGAGAGTCGCTAAGATGAAGTGGGTAAAAAAGGGGAGAAAAGAAAGAATATGAAGGGAATGAAGCAGCTTCCAGAGGAGAAACCCTGATTGTCACAGAAGTTTTCCATGCCAGTATCTGTACTATGTGTAGCCTAACTTAGAAAGATGATTATCTGACATATAAATTTAAAAATTTAGTTTCCTGATGACACTTGTCCTGAAATATCCATCCTTTCACCATGTTTTACCAATTTTACACGGGAACCCTGCCTTCCTTTTTTGTGAGAAACCTATCCTACAGCATCTTCCAGATCAGCTCCCATCTAATGTGGTCTCAGAGCTCGGGCCTGAGGCATTCTGGGCCTTTGTACCTCTCCAATGTGGTCATCTTTCTCAGCGTTTCAGTTACCTGCCTGCCTAGGGCAGTTATTCTTCCCATCTATTCTGTGTAAGTGGGTCCCAGTGTCCCTTGCCTATTCAAGTCATGTGTGAAAGAAAGAGAAGGAAGGAATTCCTCAGTACATATCCCCAAAAGACTTTTGGTTTGCTGGCAATTAATAACTTCAATCATAATGGAACATATTTTCTTCTACATGTATATTTTTAATGTCTCTAAACAATAAGTTCCAAATGCTTACACAATTTCTTATCCTCCAACTTATTTCTGAAGTCATGGATTGAGGATGTCTAAGGATCTTGTCGGTCCCTTGATGAAATGCCTCAGTCTCTTCATTTTACACTTAGATGAAAACCAGACTCTCTGTACACTAGTCTGTGAGGCCTTTGGAGCATTCCCACCTTCATGGCACCTGTTGCCAGTGTACCCTTATTCACTCTAATTCACTAAGCAGGTGATGAAAGATTCCTACAAGGTGTACACACACACACACACACACACACACACACACACACACACACACCTGAGGCTCCGGATGCACAGTTCCCTCTGCTTGGAATGCTGCTCTTCCCCCACTGGGTGGAGGGCTCCTCATCTCTAAAGACTCAGCTTACATGTCACCCTCCTTGAGAGACCTAGCTTGGGATCCTAAAAGGTCTTCTTGAAACTCTTTGTAAGCTCTTTTTTTCATAGTGCTTCTTGTACGTGTAATTATTTCTTCCCATAACTTGTCTTCATAGTTTGTGTATTTTTCTCTTCAGCCAGAATAGTACTTGTTCAGCAAGTGCTGATGTAGGCAATTGTTTATTGGATTAACTCTGGGGGAAAAATAACAATGTAATAATAACAATATGGCAGGAACTGTTGCAAAACTCCACATGCTTTACCATATCTGGTTCTCACAAGGAGCAAATGAAGTAGAGACGGTTTTTATCTCTATTTTCCTACAACTTGGAAGAAGTAGAAAATTCAAAGATTGTGCAGACAATGGAAGGTTTTGGACCTGCAGTTGGGTCTGTCTTCTTAACTATTACTGCTTAACTAATATGATAATTACCCTTTACTGAAAAACAAAACAAAACATCCTAATGGGAAAGTTCATTCTTCTTTAGCTTCTTCACTTCATAAAGTGTGAAGCCTGAAGAATTTACATGGTTTATAGGAAAAAGTAAAAAGGTCAATAGACAAATATTATTATTAGCTAAGAATGTATGATTTTCTCAACTATCATGGCTGACAGAGGGATCAGGGAAAGCTTTTCCACCCTATTCACTTTCCATACTGCAAATGGAATGAAGTAAGCCTAGTGTACATATATTTTTTTATTATGAGGACATTCTTTTAAAATAGCTATATTTTGTTTATTATCTACTTTAAAAATATTGACCTTCTCTCAAGATAAATATCATGTGCTCGCAACTATTCCAAAAATACCCTCTAAAGCAAGCAACAGCTTGTGTTTCTCTTGGCCCCAGGATCAGCACTCATTTGGGGACAACAAGTAGCACCTGGAATCTACCATCTATCCCTTCCAGCTATAGCTTTCACTAAAACTTGGAATAATCATGGAACAGACCCTGCAAATCCTGGCCAGAAAGACTCAGTGAAAATTAAAGCCAAATGTCCTGTTTCTCCAATCCTGAGAAATACTGAGGTGAAAATTTCTTAATAATGTAAAGGAAATCAGGAATCATCTTCTGAATTAAAAACAAACAAAAAAAAAACCAAAAAAAAAAACCCTAACATAGTCTTTGTCACTATATATCTAAATTTAGGTGGCCAAAAGAATCAATTCAGTAATGAACGGTTGAGCTTGGAGCTTGAACAGTTATGTGCTACTCAGAGTCTGAAGTCATGAATAAACAAATTTATATAGGTAGATTACTTTGATTTAGAAGCTCATGTTCTTGGATTCTGAGACTCAAGATCATGACTTAGTATGGGACCAACCCATCAGGCCAAGCAGCATGCAAAAAACCTAGCAAGAGTTAGTAAAATGAAGTTCCAGCTACAGAAATGTTGGAGTAGATTGTATCAGACTTTAATGATAAATCTGAACAACAATAGATAGGTAGGTAGATAAGTAGTCACGTACATACATACAAACATATACATCTACATAAACACACACATTCACCTACACAAGAGTGAACAAAAGAAAGCAAAAACCAGAGGAAGTTATCCAACCCTTAAAAAAAAGTAGTTGGTACTCCTGAGATCTGCTTTTATCTGTTTACTCAGCAGCCCATATGCAGCATGAATTGGCTCATATTCAAGCACAAGTACATGATCATATTGAGTAGACATGGTAGAAGGGGTTGGAGACCATAAATTTCAGAAAGAAGGAGCTATGAGGCAAAACTCCATTATGTATATAACATTCAGTCAAGTCTTCGCCTGATCTGTGTAATGTGCATATTCAAGGGATACTGTCAGGAACCTGGTATAAAAGAATAGCTAGATGCCTACAACTAATGAATCGAAATTTCAGTTGCTAGCACAGGAAAGGTTGAATTTGAATCTCAAAATTCAGAGACTTGTAAAACACCTTGTGTTTTCCCTTGAAAACTAGAAGAATTATGCTTCAGAGGTGCAGTCTGTGTCTCAGAGGTAAAGCTTTGCCTCAAGATTAGTGTATAATCCAAACACACTCACTTGAACAAGGTATACACTGAAGCTCCCCTAAGGACATCATGATTTGCCATTCAGGCAGCTTCCTACTAGATCCAAACCAACATTCTTCATTGTCCACAACATATCATTCATTCTTTCCAGTATACAATTAAAAAAATTACTAGACATACAAAGAAACAGGAAAGTGTGACCCATGGCCAAGAGAATAAGCAAAAAATAGCAACACTGAGATGATCCAAACATTAGAATTAAATGACAAGGTTTTTAAAGAAGCCATTACAGCTGTATGCAAATAATAAAGGGGGGAAATGTCCATATGGATTAAATACATGGGGAAATACAAGTGGTAAAAGGAAACTATATTTTTAAACACAGAACCAAATTAAATTCTTAAAGTACAAATGGAATTACTGAAATGAAAAACTTACTTATGGGCTTAATAAGAAACTGGAAACGAAGGAAGAAAGGATTTGTGAAGCTGCATATAGATCAATAGAAATGATACAATTAAAGAACAGAGGAAAAATATTGGGCAGAAAATGATCCAAGTTTCAGCAACTTCATCACCAATATCAAGAAGTGTAACATCTGTATCAATTAGAACCAAGAAGACAAAAGAGAGAGAGAGAGTGGGATATTTTCAAAAGCCAAATTTTCAGTTTTTCTGTGGGAAACACATAGCGCATTGTTTATGATAGGAACCCCAATTGCCTGTCTCCACCTTTCCCACCCTGTATCCTGTCTTCAGAGCAACCCTCAGAGCTTTCACAACATCTTCTGAGGCTAGTTTCCATTCGACAGTCTGATGCTGCTATTTCCTGTTTCTCTCCAATTCACACATTAGCTGTTAATTTCCTACTAGAATTGGGGAGCACTCATACTTCCCTAACTTCTCACACCCTGAAACATATTATTTCTTAAGCATTGGTTCCATCACAATTCATTCTCAGATTTTTATTATGACATAAATGTGATGTGTAATGGTGGCGTGCTGTTACATTTTCTTTCTTTCACAACTTTCTTTTTTGTTCGATTTAATAACAGCATTGTTTTCATTTGCCCAGTTTCCTGTTCCTCCATCCCTTATTCATCCCCATCCTTTACCAGAGCTCAGGTTCTCCATCCAGTGTCAGCAGAGGGTCCAGGTAGCCACCAGTCTGATCTGCTCTTGGGTGTGCCCCAAGCATCCTCCCCTCTGGACTGGTTGATCTTCCTGCTTCCTGCACAGCTGTTGTCCTGGGATCTCCCTAGACCATCATCCTGGGGATTCCTTTCCTCTCTTATTTGTTGGATCCATGCCTTTTTTTGAGGTTTACTCCCTTATTTTAGCGGAGCGATTTTTTCCTTCCAGGAACTTCCTGTGAAAAGATAAATGACAGATAAACATGTTGAGATCTTGTATTAGAATTTGATTTATATTTTGGATACATATAGATTTCCATCAGATTTTGATGCTTTGACTCCATTTTATTTTTCTTTCCCTGTAACTACTGAGAAATCTGGTGCCTTTATGAGCTCCAATCCTTTCATTACTCCTGCTTCTTAGATCTCTT